ATTGTGCAGCCATCAAATATCTCAAAATCCAGTGCTATTATTTACCAGCCTCATCTGCATATATTTAGTGTTGAGCTGCATGCTTGCAAGGCCAGTGCTTTTTGGAAATGCATTACACTTTAATTTCCTGGTCATTGGTTTCTTTTAATTACGCTGAAATTTATCTTAGAGAAGAAAGCAATGACAATCAAGAATACAGGGGTCTGCATTTGAGGACTGGGAACAGAGTACAGAAAGGAGCCTTTTGCTTTGGAGCTGCTGGTAGCAGTCCAGCCCAGTTTCAGACTTAGCAAAAATCATTACTGTGTGATGGCTTCTTGGTGCCCTGCTCTCTATATCCACAAATGAGTCAGCGTCCACATCACATAAACCACGAGAACAATTGGTGCTACTGTAATTGGGAGTCTACTGGCAGCATCAGTGGAAAGGGCAGGGATTTAAATGATTAGGGAAATGAGCTGCTTTCTCCCTGCTCCCTCAGGTCATCTTTGACAGACATCTGTTTGAGGAAACTTAGGAGAAATTTGATCAGTGGTAGCTCCCTTCTGGAGATAGATGGAAGATTTTACTTCTCAGTACTGACAATCTGACACCCACTAACAAGCATTATATTCAAGAAAAATAAAGGTCTTTATGGGATCATTTAATATATGAAAGCATGAAATGAAAAAGAAAATGCTAAGTATGGTTGAAAAATCAACAATAAAATCCAAATGCTGACTTGACATAACAGGAACAGAGCCAAACAAATATTATCAAGCATGACCACTGCTGGCAATAATTGCTTCTCTGAAAAACACAAGGAAATTCTGCTCTTTTATTAAACTGTTCAACAATCTCTTTGAGTAGAATCCCTTCTAGGCAAAAATAAAGGAGTGCTTCCACTGTTGAAACATTCTCTTTAGAAATGAAAACATAGATCGGTAGAAGAAATGTTGGGCTTTATTGATGTCATGGAAACAGAAACTGGAAGGAGAGCTCTTAGCGGCACAGGACCCCATAAAGAGAGTGCCCTTAGAGAGGGCTGGGACTGCCAATGTGCATATGAATCAGTGGTGGAGGTTGGAAGGGACCTCTGAAGGTCATCCACTTCAGCACCTGAACTAGGCACTTCACTGGGTCATCTGCTGTGATATAGAGAGGTCCTTATCTTAGAATTTATATGGCACCATTAGTAATGATGAAAAAACCTGCCTCTGGTAAGAAGCTAATCACGTACTACCAGAGATGCATTTAACCTCAGACTTCTTGTAAGCTCAAATAGTTAAACTGTGAAGATTTCTCTTAATATGCTGAAACGACACAGTCACATACAGTGATTACAGTGGTGAATGTGATACGAATTTTTGACTAAGTGAAAGTAAAAAGAATGTGTTTGATGTCAAATAAGTGCATTAGCAAATCTGAAATGTTCTGAGACAGCTTGGACTATTCATGAATTCATGCCAAATTCAACTAAAAATAGAATAAAACTTCAACCTCAAGTTGCAGCTTTCCCCTGAAGTTCCTCGAAAACAGAACATTTTGACTTTTCATGGTCAAACACTTTAAAAACTTAATTTAAATAACTTTAAACTGGTTTAAGAGTGCCTCAGACCCAGAAGGTTAATTTCTCTGTATTTATTTTGGTGTTTGGGAGGGGGGAACTTCAGAGCAACCCAATAAAAAATGTGTGTGTGTTTGTGTGCATGTGGTGGGTGGGGGATTGACCACAAAACTGAAAGAGAAGTTACATGTTCTCAGTTCTCTATCTGTAACCTGCCACATCTCTGCTTTTGAGTTTGTTTGGGGTTTTTTGCTTTTTTTCAGTAGATAATATGTGTGTAGTAGATTGTGTGTAGTGTTGTTTGTGCAGAGGAGACAAGATTTAAATACCTATGTTCCTTCTCAGTTATGTGGTAAGCAGTACTTGGACTTGAATATGGATTTGAAGCCCAGTGCTGTGTAGGTGAAACCAGGTTTAAATTCTTGCTCCTTCATCTCTTACACAATATAGCTGTATCTTGAGGGTGGTGGGAAAAAGAATCATAGAATAGTTGGGTTGGAAGGGACCTTAAAGCTCATCCAGTTCCAACTCCCCTACCATGGGCAGGGACACCTTCCACTAGGCCAGGTTGTTCCAAGCTCCGTCCAACCTGTCCTTGAACACTGCCAGGGATGGGGCAGCCACAGCTTCTCTGGGCAACCCATACTTGTGTTTCACCACCCTCATAGTGAAGAATTTTTTCCTTATATCTAGTCTAAATCTGCCCTCTGTCAGTTTAAAACCAATACTCCTTGTCCTGTTGAAAAAAGGACATCCTTTCAGGGTAAATATGCAGAAATACTGTGGAGCACTACAAAAGTGCAAGGGCCAACTTCAAAGTTTCTGGGAGCCAGGGTATAACAGCACCCAGAGCACAGATTTCAGTTTAGAGAAGAAAACAAAGTGAAAGTATTTCAGCATCCTGTATCACACCACCGTTTCTTCTAGTGAAGGGTATGTGGTGCATATTTTTCCCTTTTCTATCACCAGTGCTGAATTCCTCAGGGGACTGGTGATTCTGCAGATAGGGCGCCGAGGAAAGCTCTGTTCCTTGGGCAGAGCCTCGCCCTACCATCCACAGGCAAGGAGGAGAGGAGGCAAGGGGCTTGGTGTTAAGCAAGGAAGAATCTGCATGGAGTCTTTCCGCATTCGATCAGCCAAAGCAAGATTCTGAATTCAGCAGAGGTTGAATTTATGAGAACAGCAGCAGGAGGTGGGATGAGGGTCTTAAATGGTGAAAAAGCTTTTAATAGCAGTCTTTGTATTATAATAAAAGTGTTTCGGTGTCTCTGTCAGCCAGTGTAAGCAATATAGGTTTATGAGTAGCTGATATTTTGTGCAGTAGAAATGCATTTGTCCATTCTGAGTGTCTGTTACGTAGCAAGCAGATGACTGGTGATGTTATTAGGCGGACCATTGTTTCCACAGGCAAAGAGTCATCCTTCTTAATGCAAAAAAAACAAACCTGTAACAACCTATAAGCCATAATATGTAACAACACGAAGTGGTATGTGTGGAAGCAATGCATAAACCCCACTGCCTAAACTAGTACAGGATAAGATCACTATTGAGAAATCTTAAATTATTTTTTAAAAAGAGCCTTCCAAGGTAAGTCAGAGGCCAGAAAATCAACTGCTTTTGTAAATTTCCTGCAGTACCATACAGGGCACAAGGTCACACATGAATGAGACGATGTTGTATGATTTGGCTTCTTAGGCATTAGAAGTCTTTTAAAACCATAACTGCAGTGTTCATTCCAGAATGATTTTACTTTATGTATTTATTTAGAGAAAACTGAAACAGTTTGCCATTGATATGTATTCAAAAGCTGCATATTTCCAAGGCTATAAAGGAAACCTAAAAAAGAAATTACTTTCAGAACTCAAATAATATTTTTAAATGCATAGAAAAATGCATTTAAAATTAAATAGATGTAAAGAAGAGAAAATCTCTTTCCTCTTTTTGCTGCTTGATCATAACAAGTGATTGTGATGCATACATAAAACTGGATAGCATAGATTTTTGTTTATGATATGTATTTCATTTTCTGTTATGCATTTGCCCGAACAGTTGGTTTCCACATTGTGAATTCTCTTTTGCATGAATGTTTTGAAACACTTAAAATTGGAGATCATATAATGAGAGCTGTTTACAACATTCTAAATTTGTGCAGAAACTCTCACACAGATTTTGGGTTTGTGTACACATACACAAAATCTTATTTCTCTAGTTCTTGAAGTTACATATTTGCATTTGTAACAGCAGGATGAGCCCTAGAATATTTCATTAAACATCAAAACTGTATAAATAATACTTGGATCTAGGAGTTGGGTAGCACACCCTTAAGTATTGGTGAGTTTTGTAGTTTTTTCAAGCACCCACAGCTTTCTAAGCATGTGCAATATGAAAGTATGAATTATCCATAGTAATGGTGTTGCTCATAATTATGTTCTTAATAAGCTACTTTAGAAAGTGTGCAAGCTATTAGGCAAATACTATTTCATTCATTTATACCTCAGGAATATTGGAGGAATGAGATTTGTTGAAATTATCACTTTCAATGTCATTGTATTAATATCTCTAGCCTTTTAATGGAAAAATTAATCACGGAAGAGGATTTTAAAAAAGTCGTTTTAGGATGAAATTCACTCAAAAGTGTTATTTTGCATGCATTGCTATCTAAGGTACCTTTAATGTAATGGTTTACAGCAAGTCCATTACGTCATGACAGCTGTCAAGTAAACCTTTGATGTCGTCCTGCTTAGCGAAACCTTTATACTACCTTTGAAGCAGTGTGCTGTTAATTGCTTTCTTCATAGGCTGCTGGATAGAAGAGACTATGTAAATAAGGGTTTCGCATTAGTGAGCAGTGATAATTAGAGATGCCTGACTTTTTTAAGGGGAAGAGGTCAAATTTTGTTGAATTAGGTAGAATGTGACTTTGGGCTGAGATTTCCTGTGTTTTAGGTTTAGCCCCACCATTCCTGACATTGGCATGTTCTCAGATGGTATTGTGCTTACTCCCTTGTAGATGTGCTACCGTGTGTACAGTCTGCACAGGCAGAGCAGGCTCCCTGTCCTGGTGGGCAGGATGGCAGAGGAATGGTCAGTGAAAGAGGGAATGACTTGATCCAACCCGAAACTTTTTCCGTTGTGCCACTAACCCCCCAAAACCTTCATACCCCATTGCCCGGCTGGGTAACGATGATCAGAAGTTAAAGGTTGCCATCTAATGGTGAACATGTATAATACGGTGTTCATGGTTTTGTTTCTGCTCTTTTCTCACCCTTCTCCATGTACCTGCAAGTCCTTTCCGTATAAGGCACTAGAGGAATGAAAATGATATTTTATTCAGAGTTTACATGGGGTGATGTTTGATGTTTTATCAGTAACAAGATGTTGCAACTCAATGTGAAATTCCAGCCATTCAGTTTACCTGAATTCTAATTTCCTAATGCTTTTTCTGTGAATGTAGATATCGACGAGTGTTCCTTTGAAAGGACCTGTGATCACACCTGCATCAACTACCCTGGTAGCTTTGAATGTCTTTGCCATAAAGGCTACACCTTGTATGGACTGACACACTGCGGAGGTTTGGAAACCAAGTTTTACTTATGTATTTGTTTGGTTTGTGAACTGTTTACTCAGCCACGCATTCTTTCAGCTGAAGCATTTAGAACTGGAGATGATAAACTAATAAAGTTAAAGTTAAAATAGCAAGCTCATGCTATTTTAGCTTTATTTTGTGTGACTGAAATTTCAGCATCTCAATCTTGCTGAAGAATTTTCAGGAGAAGAACATAAATAAAAACCAATGTCCTGGAACTTTTTGATGGTGGTACATATCAGCACCAGTATAGGTGAGAAGCCTGTAGCTGTGATGCTTGCATCCACTGCTGCATGGATGCATGGATGCATGGATGCAACCATTCTTCCACAACCATCGCAAAGCAGCTTCATGGCTGGGGTTCATTGCACTGTACAGGGTAAGCTTCGTTATAGAGTTTACGAGCACAGAGTACTAATTGGTACTTTCACAGGAGTGAGGTTAGTCGCAGTTATATTTACAGAAGGAAGGCTGCAAATGATGAGCTACAAAGAGAATAGGAGAAGGATGTCGGTTTTACAAAGTTTACAAATTTTGGCATGCAAACTCATGTAGCAGAAACAGATGCCAGTCCCTCACTGCCATCTGAGTGTTGAGTTCAACATGACACACTGCTAATCATATCTCTGCCAGCCCCCTCTTTGGAAGAAAGGGGTAGGTGGTGTATTCTGGTATCTCTTGTATAGAGCAGTAAAAGTAACAAATGAATTCACTGTATAGTAGAGGCAGGCAGGAAGAAAAATTGGAGTTCATCTGAGGAAAGAGTTTGGGAAAAGACTTCACTTAAGGGCAGTTCTGAAAGCAAAAGCAGAGTCTGGAAATTTTGGGGACCTATGCTATGCAGGGTATGAGAGACTGATTCTCAGTTTCACTGTTAATTCCTTAACGACTTAATATATGTCTTAATTTAGGAAAAGCCTCAAAGTCTGGGGTTCAACATCAGGCTTTAAATAATCTTCAGCCTTACTTCAGCTTCAGCCTTTTAAATAAGACTGAAATAGAACCAGAACTCTAACTGGAAGTGCTCAGTGCTGAACCTCTGACAAAAACATGACCAGATCCAAACTGCCTGCTTTTTTCCTTATTGGGCAGATCCAAATCACTGCTCTGAATCCACCCTGAGCTTTGGTGCTCAGGCCTATCATTAGTTTTAGTCAGCCCCTTCAGAGTGATGTTTATAGTGGAACGAATAGCTTACCCCGGCCACCATCAATGCAGCACTAAGCAGAACTCAAAACTAGGGAGAAATAATGAGAACCTTCAAAAAGGTTTGGTGCAAGCTTACCTCTTAGTAAGCTTTCTCTCCATCTCGCTTCCCCTTTGTTAGTAATTAACGAACTATGTGGCAATGTCCTTGTTCTGGGCCTTCATGCTGAAGGACAGATCCTGTTGCAGTCTGATGTCTTCTTCATGGCACCTCTTGTAATAGAAGTTGTGTGTCATAAGGGAAACTTATGGACAGTGGGAAACTAAGGGAAACTAAGGACAGTGCTAGCATTTATACCACCTGTTGATGTAAAGCCCTACTTTCAGTGTAAATTGCCTTGTTAAGTGACCTTAGGAAAGTCAGTAGAATCTGCAGGTCTATTCAATGCCTTGGGGAATTTGGCTGCTGCTTTCAGGAGCTTGGTTCTGGGCTGAGGTACCTGACAGCAAGAGCTTGGGTTTGAACAGTTCAGCCAGAGTTCAGTGGCAAGAGCACTGTGGGTAATATGTGTGTTTCAAAGTATGGGTTCACAAGCAGAGAAGACTCAGCATAACCCCCACCTCTATGTATGAAATTTCCCAGAAAAAAGTTTTTTCTCAGGCTATCTCCCTTGTGTGTTTTTAGAACTGCTGACCGAGGACCTGCAGAAGTTCTGACTCTGACCCAAAAATCATAACATTGTCCAGAAACGTGCCCATCATATATGGGTGTCTTTCTCAATTTATTTTTTGCATATTTTCCATATTTTCCAGATTTTTACTTAACCACATGGGCTAAAATCTTGTATCAGAAGAAGAAAGACATTTCTAGATTTCAGCAGCTACCCCAGTAAATACTCCCATGTTCCCATCAAGTGCCCCAAGATGCCAGAGGAAAACTTGCCTGATGTGTATGGGTCCACATTTGTTAACCAGATGATTTGTTAATCAGATGGGGTCACTGGGATGCAACACTGGGGCCTGGGGAGAACTGGCTTGAACTCAGGCAGTGTTCATGCAAACCACATGGATTCACACAGTGGCAAGCACATGGCAGTCAGAGGTCAAGCCTGGACTCTACGCATGGTTCGTAAAAGCAGTTAGATACTCAGCCTGGGAGCATTTATGGCCAGACACATTGATGGTTTTCCTCTGTAGTTACATTTTGAGGCCTATCATTAAGCCAAAGTATTAGAAATTCAGTATATCTCCCATTGATTTGATGTCATTCTAGCTCATTTCAGCATATGTCAAATGGCACTACCTATGTGCCTTGTAAAAGTATTACAGTAATGCTACTGTTTTAGCAAGCAAATGAACATAGCTGTGTTCAAAGGGCAAAAACCATTTGTCATTGAGGTTAGTGCAGTGCCTAAAATAATGGAACTATAGTTCATAACAAGGGCTTTTAGGTTATGGCTATATTAGTGAATTAAGGACTCTGGAGCAGCAATGTGCAACTGATAGTCCACTGGTGCCATAAGACAGTTTTGGCCTGTGCCATCTGGGCGTGATCCAGAAGCAAGTACATGGCAGCACAACTCCTGTTGAGTATGATGGATAAGCGTTCTTTCTGCTGGTGGGAAGAGAGGAGATGGGAGATTGGCCACGTCAGCACAAGTATATAAATGCTGATTGCATAGACTAAAAGAGTGCACCTCACATTGACTAAATACTTTTCTAATGTAACAAAAGTTGAAACATTTTATGTGGAATATCAGTGATAATATATCCAGTAATTGCTTTACCTTCCTGCAAGCTTTTACCTTTCATTTTCATTGGAAGAGTAGAAGACTAAATAAACTACACTTCAGCTGCTAGGTTCCTATCAAATACGCAGTTTCTTTCTCCATCTGAATCATTTCTAAAAGCAAACTCTGTGAATCACTATGGAGAATTTATCTCCCTGTTATGCAAGAGATCTAATCTAACAGAAGTTTATGCCTTTGACATTTTTCCATATAATGCAATATACATTATTGTCCAGATCCTGCAGAGGCTTTTGAGCATGTTTTGTATCTTGTAAGTACTTCCAAGAATTTCAGTGCAATACCCCTAGCAAGTATATTGTATCATATGCATAAATCCTTGAAAGGGTAGGAGCTATACATCTATCTAAGGACAGATACATGCAATACACACTAAAATTGTTTGGCATGAGTATTGTCTGCATTTATACGTGTTTATATAGACTTAAATGTAAAAGATATAGTAGAAACAGATATCCTTATGCACATACTACCTTAATGCACAGTATACATGTGTACATGTGGTTAATACTCTTCTCAACTTTAATTACACTTTCAGATATTGATGAGTGCAGCATCAGCAATGGTAGCTGTGACTATGGGTGCCTTAATACAATGGGGAGCTATGAATGTGTCTGTCCACCTGGAAAGAAACTGCACTGGAATAAAAAGGACTGTGTTGGTAAGTGTGGGAAGCTGACTTGGAGGTGACTATGGTGATGCTCCTGTCCTCCAGGAGGGTGGAAAAGCCCGTGGTTTTGCCTGAGGGATGCTGCATTTTCACAGTATAGATATTGTGAAAATATAGGTAGATCTCCAAATTAATTCTGTAAAGTCAAAGAACACCTGATCCTATGAGGTCCATAAACCAGAATGTAACTCCAGGTGGATTAGAGAATGGGCAGTCTGCTGGAATTTTTTGTGTAGACAGGGGAGTTTTTTAGGAGTCGATTCACACATATCTAAGTCATCTTATTATTATGTTATGTATTTTATATTTTCATCCTTAATTTGTCCTTTGTCCATCTCTGTGGCCCCAGCTATAACTCTTTGCCTTTAAGACTAATTTAGAATATTCAAAACATGTAACTGCTTACAAGTAGGACATAGTATTCATGTTAATGAATAAATCTACATTCACAGCACCATACCCCAGTTTTTCAAGTTATCTCCAAAGGTATCCTGCTTAATATAAAGTACTAACACTAGCTGTGTATTATTTGCAATGAGCACAGTCCTGTGACCATTAAAATTATGGCACTTGCTTCTAGTGCCACTTTGTGACAGATCTGAACTTCTGTATCCTTCTAGTAGATGACTTTTTTCTGGGGTCTTATTTGAAGCATAACACATCTTGGCCATGGCTACAGCCATTCAAAGTATTTTCTGGGAGATCTTAATTCCATTTTCACATTTTTAACGGGAATGGCATACCTGAGGTCTTTCATAGTCAAATTTAGGTTGTGGGGGTTTGTTTGGGTAGGGGGGTTTAGAATCACAGAACCATAGAATAGTTAGGGTTGAAAATGACCTTAAGATCATCCAGTTCCAAACCCCCTGCCATGGGCAGGGACACCTCCCGCTAAACCGTGTCACCCAAGGTTCTGTCCTACCTGGCCTTGAACACCACCAGGGATGGAGCATTCACAGCTTCCCTGCGCAACCCATTCCAGTGCCTCACCACCCTAACAGTAAAAATCTTCTTCCTTACATCCAATCTAAACTTCCCCTGTTTAAGTTTTAACCTGTTACCCCTTGTCCTATCACTACAGTCCCTAATGAATAGTCCCTCCCCAGCATCCTTATAGCCTCCCTTCAGATACTGGAAGGCTGCTACAAGGTCTCCACGCAACCTTCTCCAGGCTGAACCACTAGTAATTTCTCATAGATAAACTTGGGGCCTAATACTTAACTGGGAGGAAGACAGAACAAGAAAGGGACTTAACGGAATCTCTGCACATACGGAAGAAAAGCATTACAGTCTTTTATATACTTTTATATAGCCAGGGTGGGGTTGTGGGTAAATATCTCAGGTTGGGTTTCAGCCTTTGCCATTGACTTCTCTCCTAACCACAACTATGTACTTCATTTTTCCTGCTTAGCTTTATCTATATTAACTTTCCCTATTATATACAGAATCGAGTTCTGTAGGCATAAGAAATGATTAACACTGGTGGGTTTTAGTTATCCAACAGGTCTCTCTTGCAATGTACCAGTTACTCCTCTGGAAATGAGTTTGTAAATTAACAGCAGGGACTACAGTTTTGAGGTCTGCTATATAGTTAGACCTCATAGTTAGACAAAAGTTTTGTGCTATATTCCCTCTCAGCCTGCTAAGAATGCTGTTCCCATGGTAAGGGGCTGGTTGAAAATATTTTCCTAGTTGTAAATTTCTCTTCATTATTTGTAATACTCAGAAGATGGAAAATAGAACACTTCTCTATTAGTATACACTGTTTTATTTGATGAATTTAATGAGGCTTAAAATGAGTGTCATCTCCCTGCTGATCACTTGCCTTTATTACCATCATTGTTTAGAGGCAACTGCATTCTATATTGTTATAAAAGCACAAAAAAGAAGTAGAATGATATTTAGTGATCCTGAATGCCACATGATTTGGTGATATTTGCAGTAACAAAATCCTCTTTTGCTCAGCAATGACACTTTGCGCTTGCTTTGTTTCCTCAGTCCAAAGAAACAAATTCTTTAAAACCATCACCGAAGCCACATAAAAGACCTTAGGAGGGAAGTAAGTGGAGGATGATTATTCCCGTATTAAAGATGTGAACATCAGGTGTGTTTAAGGGACTTGTATGTATTTATACTTAACCAGTGAGGCCAGGGGTGCGAGCCAGCTGGTGGCTGCTGCGACCCTTCCTCTGCACTCAAGCCAAACCAGGCAAGGCTCATTACAGCTCCCACACTTGAATTGCCCTGTTTCATCCCAGCTTTACTGGGCTTTTCCCAGATGCTGGCAGATCCAAACCAGTCTGGCTGCTGCAGCTTTGGTCTCCCTTGGTGTGGTTCAGTGGTGAGCTGACAGGAAAAATGACATTTTCAGTAGCACAGTCAGGCATGAGCAAAACAAGAGTCAGCCACATCCATCTTGTAAGGTGAGCATGTTCAGAAGAAGTAGCAAGCAATTCATTACAGCTTTCTGTAGTTTCAGCTAAAACACAAACAGTCTCTTACCCAAATAAGAGCAGTTTGAGACCTGCAGGATACTCTGTCTTCATCCTGCCGTGAAGCCAAGAGAAGAATCTGGGTATTTCCATTGCACAAGCTGCAACGTGCCTCATGTGGTGGACATTGATGAGAAATGGCTGATGTCTCTGTGTGTCACTGTCTCCATTTCAGCAGTGGCTGAAAGGACTGGTGGGACTACCAGCATCTCCTGCCTCATCCCTGCCTGGCTGGAAAGTTTTCTACTTCCAGAGGCTACAGCATGGAGCTAAAAGTAAAAAGTCGTTGAGAGTTAGAGAAGTGGAAAATACCACTTTTGCAGTCACCTAAATAAACAGATCCTTGTGAGGGTGACTCCTGTGCATGGTTGGTAGTTGGCCTGTTAAATCGGAGAGCTGTTGCCTCCAAAAGGGAGGAAAGGACATCTCAGGTCATTAATATTACCTGTTGCTTCTGAGATCAAGATGTGCATGCAGAATTGTCCTTGTACTTAGATACCTGCCTTCCAGAGTGCAGATCTTGGACCTGAACAGTCCTTAAGTGAAGGATAGGAGGGAAAGATTGATCAAGAGTTTAGGTCAAGAACTTCGAAGGAGTTTAATTTCAAGTCTAAGCTGAAGATCCAGATACTTTCTCCCTAACTGAGCTTGTGATTTTGCTTTGTTTCCACTTTCCTTTCCTCAGCACTGCATGCAAGTGGATGCACAAGGATCTGGGTTGGGCAGTGTCTGATTTTTTTTTCATTTCTCTTTTTTCTCTCCTCAGAGATAGTGAAATGTCTCCCGAATGCCAAACCAGCTCCCAAGGCTCAGCTAGTGTGTAGTAAGACAGGAGGCATAGAAAGCTGCTTCCTGTCATGCCCATCCAATACTCTTTTTGTTCCAGGTTTGTACAAAACGTTTGTGCTCCCAAGTATAGAATGTGACTTGATGGTATTCCTCTGCCAATGTGTTTGCAGTTCTTACATTCAGTTTTTGTTCTGGACAATTGGAAATGAGCAAAAATATCTTTATAGCTTGAACTGGGCCAGATAAGTACATCACTAAATAGAAGAGCTGATTACCACTTACATTAGAGTTTTGGCCCTTCATTGTTTAATTTGAGGTGTCATTTGGAGGGGTGGGGAATTTCAAACAAAAACCTGAGACATGTCTACCCTGGGCAGGAAGGTGCGAAAGAAAAATTTTAATGCATTGAACTGCTGTGTCAAAAAGAGAGGGAGAAAAAAAAATCGGCAATTGATTTCAGTGGATTCCTACTGATTTTCAGTACCAGGTTTTTCAGCTTTGAGTCAAGTCCCCTGTGCCCATCCAGGCATCTGTTTAAAATGAACTTTGCATCATGGCCTGAAATACCCTGTAACTGTGTGATTGAGCAGGAGCAGAAATGCATCCCAGAGCAGAGAGACCCCTGGGAGGAACTTGTCTTGGTGAGCACATTCTGAGGCACGAGCAGAAAAAGGACTAGTAGGACACCCTGGGAAATTTAATACTGTGGCTGCCACAGCACATGATCAGGCTCCCAGATCAGCTGGGATGGCATAAAACTTCTGTCAGCTCAGCCAGGGGCACTGTGGAGCAAAGATTGACCTAGCAACACCTTTAAAACAGTCTTACTGTCTCATAAAAAATGAATGCAACCAAATCTGTCTCAGGAGGCTATATGGCAAAAAGAATCTCTCAGTATTATCTGCTGTGGTTGCTGAGTTTTAATACATTTTCCTGGTAGTAGTTTAGCAGAGTGTTATTTATAGAAATTCATGCATTTTGTCTTCTCCCTGCTTTGTATCATTTGCTCCAGGTAATTTTCATGTACAGTTTTGCAGGTCAGGTGGGGAAGGGGATTGCTACTGCTTTTTTGTGCATGTTCTGTTACAGACAAAGAATTATTTTCCACAAGAATATTTCCACTTTTAGTAGATAGTCTAAGGCCTATTAGTCCTGGCATTATGTGAAGTAGAGCTGTTCACACTTTATTTTCAGTTTAGCAGGGATTCGTGGAACCATGCATTTATCTAATTTGTATGCACCAATACACAGTCTTATCTGTGCAATATGTAAACCCTGTTATGGTTCTAAGTATGTTGGGTTTTGTTTCTGCCAGTAAGTTCTGTCAGAGTCAGGAGTTAGAATTATTATGAAAGTACATGGTTTCTTTTTTAAATTAAAGAGATGATCAAAGCACAAGGACTCTGCCATGGACAAACAGAAACTATTTTCTACTTGGGCAGCATGGAATTATTTGCAGCTAACCGCATGCCAAATTGTTTATAAAATGTAACATTTCAGTGCTGCAAGAAACAGAACTTGCAGTCAACAGTGACACATAGCCTCTGGCAAGCTATTTCAGCCATTTAAAATCCAAGTTCAGCACTTAAAATGCCTCCTTATTTAGCAGTATTAATCAGTTTGTCAAAGATTAATGCTGGGGGGGTGACGAGAGAGCAGATGCTTTGAGAGGCTGTTGCCACACGTTCTGACACTGCATTCTGCCCTGCAGATTCAGAGAACAGCTACACGCTGAGCTGTGGCGTTCCTGTCCAGCAAGGCAAAGCTCAGCAGAAACGCAACGCAACCCTGCCCAGCTGCGCAGGTAGGTGATCTCCTGCTTGCCTGGGCCTTGGTGTCCAGGAGGTGGGGAATGGAGGTCCTCCAAACCATTTGGGAGTTGCAAGACCTACAGCACTGAAGTTACACAAGACCAGAATTAAGGTATCCTGTGTTCCATCACGTGCACACTTGCTTTTCTGCATCCTCTCCTTGAGGGGCGGAGGGTACACAGTTGCATTCCAGTGTGGCATGTGTTGGTAGGTCAGTATAGGAGTGGTGGAGGTTTGAGATGTATTCAGTAGTGACAGATATATAGAATAATTTACTTTCCATAGTTCAACAAGGCAATAGCAAGCATATCAAAATGGTATTTCTTCTCATGCTTGGAAGTAAGCCAGAGAGGCCCATCAGTAGCGCAAGAGCAGAAGGCTTATTGCGGGTTCCAGGCCTTGCCTGCAAAGCCCTTCCGTAGGAACATAGATACTCCTACTGGGGATTCCCAATAAAAAGGTTATGAGACTTTTATGAGCACATATTGTTTCATTTATCTTGTTCTCAGAAATGGCTGGATTATGTTTGCAGACATTTCAAAATGTGTCTTAAAGCTGATACTCAGCATAAAATAAGGTTCAGCTCAAAATGGTTGAGGTCTGGCAAAATTAGAAGCACCTTGAACAGCACCCAACAGTGGGAAGCGTCATCTCACTTTATGTATCATTATCTGCTGTACTTCTCTCCAGTTTGCCAGATCTCTAACCATGTATTTCTTATATATTTGCAATGTGTGAGGAGGTGCGATGCTGAGGAGTGCAGTAACAGGACAACAGATGTGTCTGCCTGTGGCACAGGGGCAGGTTACCTCTATAGTCCTAGTTTGGCAAAGCCCTCCCAAGGAAAGAGGGACCCACGCTGCAGCACTTACCTGCAGCCACCCCTCCACCTGCTCCAGGTCCCATAGGCAGCCTACAGCGGCTGGCAGGTGATGGGCCAGGTCCAGCCTTTTCCACCATGGACTCTGCGAGGAAGTCAGCCAGCAGCCACATTTCCTAAGTGATTCGTGGCTATATAACAGCCTTTAAAGTCACAAGATGAAACTGGCCTGGATTTAAAGCTGAAGAATAAAGCTTGCAAGCCATAGACCACAGTCAAATAAAGATGTTTCCTTTGGATGGTTTTCAACTGCCAACACTGTAGCTCCCTAAATTAATCTTATTCCTGGTTGGCATTACCAAGAGCAGAACTACAGCCAAGTAACATGGGAAGTCGCAGACAGAGTCCGGAAAAAAAAAAGGCAAGAATTATTTCTTTTTCGTAGTAACAGACAAATTTGCTCAAATTCCACAAAGATGTGCAGGCCTGCTGGAGGGGAAGCCTATGTGCAGTGCATGTGTGACACCAGCAAGTTCATTGATCTTCATGGCCTCAAGAATAAGTGCTTATGCAAAAAAAATTAACTTACAGAGACGGATCTTCTTGTACAAAGCGTGTAACCCTTGGGCTGTCTCTTTTCTTTGTCACTAGAAGACGTCTGAGTCTGTTTTTAAAAATGAGTTTCAGATTTCATTTCATCTGCATCCCAAATGATAGCTTTTTTATTTTACATCAACAGATTCATTAGCCCCTCCTATCAAGCAGAAAGCTCGTTTTAAAATTAAGGATGCAAAATGCCATTTACGGCCTCGCAGCAAAGAAAAAACAAAAGATTCTGGGAAGCAAGCTTCTCTAGGTATGTGGTTTCTTCTAACATGTAAACAGCACTCTTAATTTTTCATTTGCTTGCTTGCTTGTTTGCCTATTTTGTTTTCATACTGCAGACAGGAAAAAAAAACAACGTTTGTCATATTTGGATCTGAATGTAAGTTCAGGCCAAGGTTCACACACTAGCTGAACATTGCATTCGGTTTGGATCTGACAGTATTGAAATGTCACCAGGTGCTTTGAAAAATCTTTGTTCACAAGTACATGAGTTTGGGATTCAGTTGAGCCTTTTTCTAGCACTGGTAATAGGAGAAATATCCTGAGGCAAAAAGCTGTGACCTATATGAAGTTGCGTGAAACAATGCCTGTTTGCTTTGGTTTAGTTTTCCCAAGGGTGGTTTATGAAAGAAAACAAAAGATGTTATTTATTTGCTTTATTGTGGATTAGTATCTATATTACTTGCAGCAGCAAAGATAAAACCTAAGTGATAAAGTTATATTTCAGCTCTGGTGCTACGCAGCCTTAGATCTTTTCTTATGTTGGAGTGAGTAGTTACAATGTTAGAAAAAAAAATTAAAAGATTTAGACATAATTACCAAAACTCTGAAATTAAAAAATGTTTATGTGAGGATGAATCAAAGTAATCAAATGTTCTTAAAATTCAGTGTGACTGGGCATGTGGTGTTATTGTTTTCTAACATCATTTTTGAAGTTGGATAAAAAAGATACTTGAAAAGTTATGTCTATTGAACAGATCTTCATGACATTTATTTCTTGTCCTCTATCCCCTTGATACTATGATAGGGACAGTTAAAGAGTGTTTGGATGTTACTGCTGTGCATTTCCACAGCTTAAAAGTATTTGGCATTCATTTGAATTTAATATTAACTCAACATTTTCCACATTTTAATACACACTATTGGTGTAATTGCAACAGCTCATACTGCAACATAACAGCATGCAGCAAACTTCTATTGTGGTGACTGCCTCACCACCACTTTTGCTAGAGAGTGAGTCATACATGAGCCCTGAATAGAGGAAAGTAAAAAATAGCTATCCTAAAAAAATGCTAATGGTTTAAAGATTTTATTTTTTAAATTTAGACTCGTATTTTATCTTTACCTTGAAATCTAGACATCTATGACTCTAATTTTCCAAGTGCCCACTTAAAACAAGTCTCAGTTGTCAAGATGCTTACCTTGTCTTTAGGGATTTTCTTCTTTTAATAAGATTTGATTTTCAGACTCATTTTTAAAGTCATGCAGTCACCATGGGAATGTATTTTGTGGATTTATATCCTTGTCCTTTGCTTTGCTTTGTTTTTATTATGTCATCTAAACTTTTGAGTCTAACAGAAAGATTATATAATACAACCACACGCTTGAAATGAAATCCTCCTGGTGGCCTCACTGCTAGAAATTTCTCCCTGACCTGGAAGGTCCATTGCCTATCAGAAAAAGGATGTTTTTCACTAAGATTTCTTTGTATAGGGAAAGAATGCTCATGTGATTATGCCCCAGCGGATTGCGGCCTTTTCCACGTAATTGACAACAGCGTTCAGTTCCTCTGGCTTGTGATAAGATGAAACAGCCACAAGTTGTGCCAGAGGAGGTTTAGATTGGATATTAGGAAAAAAGCCTTCATCAAAAGGGTTCTCAAGCACTGAAACAGGCTGCCCAGGGAAGTGGTGGAGTCCCCATCCCTGAGGGTATTTAAAAGTTGTATCGATGTGGCACTCAGGGACATGGTTTAGTGATGGGCTTGGCAGCGTTAGGTTACTGGTTGGACTAAATGACCTTAAGGGTCTTTTCCAACCAAAATGATTCTGTGACTTCCCCTCAGATAAAGCCTTCCAATATAGTTTCATAACCTCCCAGTCAAATGATTTAAAACCTCTGATACCTGGCGATTGCTGAAAGAGATGGAATACCAGCTGGTATTTTCTAGAGGCCTAAGCCTGCACTCTCATGAATTTATGAAAATTGACTGTCTTGCTTTGTTTAACCATCAAATACATAGTACTGTTGATCTTAGAAAATTTCTGTAAAGAACTTTCTAATTCTTATGCAGAAAAGGGACAGGCAATTGTAGACATTAGAGGTACCACTGTGCAGCTCAGCACCACCACACTGTGTTTTCATGCCCTACATTCACTAGCAAACCCAAAGTTGCACAGAGAAGGAGGTGTCTCACAATGTGCATGAAATACTGTGAAGCTTGTCACTGCAGTCATGATAACCCTGCTGAGATATCGCTTATTAGCCTGTCACTTGCTACTTTGCTACTTGATTTCTTTTCTGTGTTGCTTCTCTTATGCAAAGGAGGTCAATTCCCTTGTACAGACAACTGCCAGGTGACCTTTGTGAATCTCAAGTGTGATTCCTCCAAGAAAAAACGTCGAGGCCGTAAGTCCCCATCAAAAGAGGTATCCCATATCACCGCAGAGTTTGAAGTGGAGATGAAGTCAGAAGAAGTTTCAGGTTTGTGAAATATCTGTCTGTGGAGAGAAATCAGAATTCAGTTCCTTTGTGTGTGGGTAGAATCTCCTTGATGCTATTTCATCAATCTTTCATGCAAACTTTTTAGCACAAGCCTCATTCAGCAGCCTTTCCAAACTCAAATTTTCACAGATTTAATTGAAAGGAATCAGGTATGAAATTAAGATGAAGGAACAAAGATTGAACCTGCAGCAAAATTCCTTCAAAGCCTTAAGTCATGTACTTTAATTTAGTCTGATTTCTTTAAACAGAAGTGCTAATTGATGCACAGAGAATGTAAGGACTAGGTAGAAGTTCTGCAACAACAATGATAAAAATAGGCTCCAAAATATATGTTTCTGAAACTTCAGTCTGAGAATCAAACATTTTTATCACACATTTGGAAAACTCACGTTTTCATAACAAACTGCAGAAAGAAAAATAATTGCTTCAAGTTATTCATGAGCTGTAATATTATGCTATAAAATCCAGCCAAAGAAAATGTGGGCTGAATTCTATAAACACATCAGTCCTCAAAGGCAGGTTTGTTAACCCTGAGGGGTACCTCACTAGCCAACTGATTCAAAGAGTAATTGTGCCAGAAAGTACCTTTCTTTGTTAGAGAAATGTGAAGGATTCCTGATCAAATAAGTAGAGCATGGGCAGATCAAATTCAGAAACAGTAGTTGTGGCAGACTGAAGGCATTATCTGGAAGTACAACACAGGGAGATTGATGCTTGCTGCAGCCCTTTTCCTGTGCATGCACTCAGTGTACCCAGATATTTTAATGCTAACGATAAGATGCCAGCACTCAGTGTGCGCTTATAAAGCCATGAAACTCATTCTGATGGACCTCAGCTACTGTCTTGTCCCTTTAAAAGGCCTGATTTTTAATACAGTCGGCTGCTCCTACAATTGATACAGAGAAGACAGTGAAACAAACAGAGGTGTCATAGCGTGTTGCAGGCTCAGCTTTTTGTTAAGCACCTTGTTTTAAACATGAATCTCAATTGCTTCTAGTTTTGTTATCATTTCCCATCTAGACACCTGTAACATTGACTGTGTTCGGAAAAGGATGGAGCAGAAGCTGCAAACTGCAATCAAAACATTGAGGAAATCTATTAATAAACAGCAATTTTACATTCAGTTTTCTGGGACAGAATATGAAGTGGCTCAGAAGCCAGCTAAAGCTACTGAAGGGCATGAAGCTTGCAGTACAGGGCAGGTGCTGCAGGATGGAAAATGCGGTAAGTCCCAATAACCTATTCAGCATATCCCCCAAAATAGGCAATCCAAAATGAGCTTGTCCCTAGTGAGCCCTGCAGGAAATCTTTGAGATAACAGATTATTTAGATCAGTATCACTCAACATATATGCATGAACCACTGGCAGTTAATCAGACTTTGAAGGGAGTTCATGAAATGATTGCAAGAAAAGAAAAGAAACATGTCTGTGGCTACATTCCCATGCTGTCAGCTGGTATGTATCAAGGCCTACCACAAGGCAGTGTTGGCAATTAGTTCTCAGTTGCTCCCAGCACCTTATGAAAACATAATTACAATTCTGTAGAACAATAATATGGTATTTACCCAGATGCCATTGTCACCTCACTCACACTCCTCACCACCAAGTAATCTGTGACCCATGGATATATTTGTATTTAACACTCAAGAGGTCCAATTTAAAAAAAAAAAAAAAAAAAGAAATCTGTTTTAACTTTATGTAAAATACGTAATGTCTTTAAGCTTTTCCCAGATTATCAGGCTCTAGCGCTTTACTAGAGGTAAAGGTGCTAGTGCAAAGGTAACTAGGCGCAAGGTGCTAGTGCAAACCTGTTAATGGCAGCTCTCAGTATGGCAAGTTTCCTTATCATCTTTTCAAAATCAGCATATCTATTTTCCCAGCTGCTTTTAAACACTAAGTTATTTACAAGCACACAGAAATAGTTGACTGCAGATCTGATAGGTGCCTTTAATGAGTTGGTTCAAAGGCTGTTTTCATTACAGAGGAGAGGTGATTTAGAAGCTATTGAAAGAGTTGCTATTAGTGTCTAGGTACCTGTACATTTTAACTACCTATATCCAGCAGAGAAAAATGTTTAATCGAGTTATGTGCCCTGTTGCAGCAAGAAAAGCATATGTATTCATATCTGTATTTAAAACACTTTCCAGTTGGGGTATTTGAGTGTCAAGAGACATAAAGTATTACATGGGATACATTGCCATCAGAGAAATTTCTAGACTGGACCTCAGGGGACAGACTTCTTGTAGTCATCTGCCATAAAAACAACATGTAAATTCACATCACTTCCCATGTGTTATGCACCGCTATTTTAATTAAACTGCAAGATTTTTAGACCGCATCAGCTTTATTAACATTATATTTCTGATGAACACTTGAATGCAGTACAATGCCATTTAATAGCTTAAACGATAGAAGGACCAAGCCCTGATGTAAACTGACATAGACCACAGTGGAGATGGGTCTGTTTACATTAGGTGAGGATCCTGGACTAACATATGCAAAACATATGCCACTGTAATACTGAGGCCAAAGAGATCCATCTTCTCTAAATGTTTGATATAAAGGCAAATAATGATCAAAATGAAAGTCCTTATGTAGATTCCCCTTTTCTTTTCTCAGTTACCTGCAGCACGGGCACCTTTTATAGCGGAGAACATAATCAGTGCGTTCCTTGCTCACCAGGAACATACCAAGACACAGAAGGTCAACTTACCTGTGAGCCCTGCCCAAGTAATGATGGACAGGGCGTAGCAGGCGCCCGGAATGTCTCAGAATGTGGAGGCAAGTTTCATTTGATTATAAAAGGGTTAGTTGTTGCCACACACCATGTGAGGCATGGAGGCTAAAAGAGGGGAGAGCCTTCCACACTTCTGTCTTGTAAAGGTAACAGAAGAAATCTCTGTGCACTTACAAGCAACATGCCAAATGTTTTGGCTTGTTCAATCCACTGACATTGCTCACAAGAAGATGGGACCTGCTACAGCAATGTGAATTATGGTATGGAAATGAGCAAGCCAAGCAAAGCTTTGCTTCAAGTCAGGTATGGGATCTGGCCATACCTGGACTTGTAAGGACTCGTCAGGTATACTGTGAGCCAAAGGGATGGATTACTTTGGACTGGTATTGGTGAGTCTAATGAACCTGTTGATTTTTAATGTTTTGCATGAGATGCAGCTTACCTGGTCTAATCAGCAGCAATCATAATTTTGATAGTTATGCTGCAGGGATCTATAACCTGGACTCAGAGCTAATGACTGCAAGTTTCAGTGCTGCTTAAATTCACTGTAGCTTTTGGCAAGTGATGTAGTATCTCTGACTATTTCATGATGCATAAATGAGATTATAATGATTATAATACCTGGTTTCAGAAGTGAGCTGTGCTTCTGTTATAACTTGATCAAGATAAGGTTTTAAGACACAACTGTTAATTATTTTCTTTACCTTATTTCATTACAAATGAGCAAAATCTAATTTACAGCAGATAATTTGACTTTGAAAGAAATCTGTCCTATCTGCCATGCAAGTTCTAACTTTAAAATTCATCCATGTAATTTACATTAATGCTTTCTTCAAGGATATCTACAGGGAACATACAATGAATGTCACCTGAGAAACTGCCACTTTTTTCCCATCCAGTGAATAAAAAATAACTCTAGAGTCTCCAGTCCAAACATATGGTAGATTTTGCTGATTTGCTGTATGAAGGAACTATTACAGGAAAACTGTTGAAATGCCAGTGTATCTTTGTTATGTTGATTTGTATTTATCCAAAATCCAACAAGAATAGATTACCAAAATCAAATCTGAGTTTCTGCAAGTTGACTATAGTATACTGACCAAAGTGGCATGTCAACTGCAGGAAAAAGACTGGTTTGTTTTAAGGCTTGCGTTTGAATTACTGCTCTGCACAACAGCAAAAAGAAACCCATCTGATTATTTTTGCAGAGTGGATCTGTCTCAAAATGTTTGCTGTCAGATCACAACAGTCTGGTTTTCTGCTCAACTCTCTGCTTTTCTCTTTGTCTGAAAGTGGCAAGGGAAGAAGTCCAATATGCTTTGCACTTCATAAACCTGCCTGTCAAAGATTTTATCAAAATCAGTATGTCTCCGTAAAATATGTCAGCATATGTGATGAAACAGTGTATTTTGATGAACGCAGATATTGTTAGAAATGTACTCACCACATGTAAGCAATAGTATTTTTTGCATCATATCTTCTGGAGCAGTAATGCCTATGTGGCAACAAATAAGGTATGACTGAAATCCTCACCCTTACAGGTGAGGCACATATGACAAGTATGGAAAACGGTTTTAAGTACCTGTTGTGTAGAACTCTGTGTTGGAGCTGCAAGTGAATAACATGCTGTGGTAGTTAATTTACATGGCATCCATGTAGGTCCAAGGCCAAACACAACAGGAAACCTAGCCATTTGGTGCATTTCTCAGAGAAATCCCCTCAGATCTATTTTTTTGGCATTTTCAATACAGAAAGCAAGAAGGGAGCAAGTTAGCTCACTCTGATATACAGGTGAAGCACGAGACATTTTCATGTTGAAAGCATCAGGTATTTAGCAGTTCTAAAACCCAACTGTACCTCTTCTTTAAAAGGATGTCTGTAAGCCACACCTCACAGGTGCTTAATCTTCACACTAAAATCAAGATCCAAATCCACACTTCATTAACTGCCTTCATGTTACAAGCCCAGTGATAAACTGGACCAAACCAGGTGGAGCAGTCTTGCTACAAAAACAATAGCAGAACTGTCTTCAAATCAATATCATAGTATTTTTCAGAGATCTGTGTCACAACAGCCAGCTTGTACAGTCATATTCCAGCCAGCTGCGATGGAAGTGCAACTAAATCCCAGAGGTGTCCATAGCAGTTTGACCTTTTTGTGGGAGCAGAACTTGAACTTTGCTTTTGTTCAAGAGTTCTAGTTCATCTAAAGTGGCAAGTTACCCCAGTTACTAGATGCCCCAGCATTTATCTCCCAGCAAGTATTGGGGTTCTTAAGAGAACCCAACCCCAGCTATAGCTCTCAGAACTTTCAGATTTTCAAGCCAGTTGTTTCCGCCTGCTGTTCAGTTCTCAGGGAAGCTAAATTACAAATTTGGGATTAGCCAACCTTAGGGAACACCATACATCTCAAAGTGCTGGTCTCCCAGACTGGGGTGGTATCAAGATAGGCATTAATGCCATAATCTTAAAAAACTTGACTTCCTGATTCTCAGGTAGGCTGTCAAGGAGTAAAGTACTTAAGCTAGCAAGAACCAAACCAAACAAATGCCTATCAGAAACTGCTTGGAGAGCAAATTTGGAAATCAGGTTGTATCTGTCAGTAGACTCATTCACAAAGTGCTTTGCTTTACACAGACCAGAGCTTCTGACAAGCACTTGTTTTCACAGCTAGCTGGAAAGCTGCTGATGTCAGCTGTTCTCATAGACAGGGTGCTGGACTGGTAAATCCCATGATCTACTGCTTCTGTATCTATAAAATGGAGATACAAAAAAAAAAAAAAAAAAAAAAACCAAAAAAAAAAAAAAAAAAGCTATTACTTGCTTCATAGTTATGGTGCAAAATTTATTTTTTTCCTACAAAGTGCTTTTAAATTCTTAGATGAGAGACATGGTGAAAGCACAAAGTTCTAACGTCTTTATAAAGCCCTTGCTAAAAAGCAAGAAAAAAAGGCAAACAGGAACATAGGTAGCAAAGAGCTACCACTGGTATTTACTGGTGCTGGTTTTAGGAAGCAGCTACAGGAAGAATACCAAATCAGCAGGTAAGATTAGAGTTTGATCTGCAGGTGTCTTGCTGTCATGTGTTTAAGTTAAAGGAAGCTTTGCTTTGTCCAGAAAAGTTGGCTTACTGATACAGATAATCATTTTCAATTTCTAGGGCAGTGTTCTCCTGGGCACTATTCCCCAGATGGTTTTAAACCTTGTAGAGTCTGTCCTCTTGGTACATACCAGCCTGAACCAGGAAGGACCCTCTGCTTTCCATGTGGCGGTGGGCTTGTGACCAAGTATGAAGGTGCTGTTTCCTTTCAAGACTGTGAAACCAAAGGTGAATTTGAAATCTTTCCACAATTCATATTCCTGCTGCTTGCCCTTTTCTTTGTAATCTTGAATACCAAGGGGGTTTGAAAGGTCCCAAACCAAACATAATCACTGTATGTAAAAACACAGTGTGGAAGTAAAATAAATGGTTGGGAAATCTGTCAACTAGGAATGATTTCCCGAGGTTGCAGAGACTGAACTGGCTTTATGGCTTTCTTTGGAATTATCACGGGCAGGTATGGGGTCAGCATGCAACTGGTGAGTGAATCAGCCCCACCGAATGGCAAGAAATAAGACACACTTGCATTAGATAATGCTTTAGCTTTCACGTCCTGTATATTTTATTTATCAAATGAGAAAAACAACACTACAAAAGTTACATGAAGTTAAGGACTGATTATTAACGGGCTAGAAACTGTAAGCATGCAACACGTTTTGTGTTCCATAATGTCAACTTCCAGTGCAAAGGCTGAAGAAGGAATGACATGGTGGCCCTGGCAAACAGACACAGAAACATCTCTCCCGCTAGTGTGAAAGGCATTTTTATTGCTTAGGCAGACATGTATCAGCTTCCATTTATTACAAACTTATTGGAAACCACTGTATTAAATACAGTGAGAGACAAATGTAGCATGTGTTACTAGTTTGTAAGGGTTTAGCTCTAGTCTTTGGAACATAATTCTAGTTAGAAGGTCATTTGCAATGCAAAACACAGGGAGCTGTTGTCTTCTTCTGCCTTTTCTGGCCTAGTAAGTATATTGCAGAACTGAGACTGTGAGGTATATCCAGGGTAGAAGAAAGTTTTCTGTGCACTGAAGATCACTACTTTCTGAAAATAACGCATCTCATACCTTACAGTTCATTGTTCTCCTGGGCACTACTACAACTCCACAACACACAGATGTATCCGATGCCCTATGGGAACATACCAGCCTGAGTTTGGTCAAAACTACTGCATCACCTGCCCTGGGAACACAAGTACAGATTTTGATGGTTCCACTAATGTTACGCATTGCAAAAGTAAGTTACTTCTATGTAAGTTGTGAGGTGAAGCGTATCTTCAGATCTGAACAGCAGCTAGAAGGTTCCAGCTGTCAGGCTGGGCTTCAATTCTCTAATTCCTAGTTAGCATTCACCTCCTGTCAGAAGGAATAGTAAAAATTGGGAAAACAATGAGAAAAAAGCCTGAAAAGTACCACCTGATGCATATGACTGGTTGAGCGTTAATGTAATTTGGCACAGTGCCAGCAGCAAGTTAAAGGTACAGAACTTTTGGGTTCCCAGATCTTGTAAGGGATCTTGCAGTGATGCATATTCCTCCGTGTCTCTGCAGAGCACAGTATCTTCTATCAAAGCAACTGCCATTTTATAATAATTATAAAACACTGGGAGAGATGGTCATGCATACTGCAACTGCCAGCTAATCGCTTATGCCAGTGAAATCTTCTCGCAGGCATTTCTGCAGTACTCAGCCTCCTATCTTCAATTACCATTTTAAACATCCCCAAAGATTCCAGTACAATTTTGTTTGATCTTTGTGAATGACTGATTCTTTTAGGCAAGCAATTTCTTTCATCTCTACCATGCTAATTTAAGAGAAGGTGTCTATAATAATTAGGTAGCATCATCTAAACAAACTGTTCATGTGCAAGTCTGTCATGAGTTTTTATTCTGATTATGTCCCACGTGTCTTTGAAGCCCTTCATCATTTCTAATGTAATTTGAATATATTAGATATTTGTAAGGGATTTGAAGAGTTTGATGATTTTCCTATAAAATAAAACCACCCTTGTCACTTTGCTGTCTTAGATATTCCCTGTTTGCAAGTCAGTTTCTGATCTTGCATGAACTCTGAGGCTTGGATTAAGCAAAATACTTGAACATGTATCTATCTAGTTTTGTAACTAGGCCTGGAAAGATCAAGCTTAAGTAACTCACCGAATCAGGCTTCTGTGGCAAATTCAGTAGGAGATTTGAAAACTCAGAAAGTGAAACTGACCCATCAGTGAAGATTCTTTATTAACTGTTTTAAACTAAAATGAAGCCGGGCAAACCTTTAATTAAGATAAGGTTTGCTATTAAGTTCATCACACTCATTGAGCTAAATCAGCTTAAAAACCAAGTGAAGTTAAACCAGAATACCTTCTGCATTTCAGGATGGTCTCAGTGGCAACCACTCTGTGAGCACCTCCACAGTGGTATCATGTTCACTTACCTGTGTTCGTTTCTTAATCAAGTGTTAAAGCAGCCTGGATGACGTGTTGAATCAGACTATACACTGGAGATTAAGTTTTTGCAAACCAGTTGGAACAGCCCTGCAGATCAGTTATTCCTTTAAAGGCTCTCCGTGCTAAACAAAGAGGCAGTTGGAGAATGTATGCATTTCTAAAGCCACAAGGAGGAGTTTAGACTTGCTCTTGACAGATCTAGAAGAACACCCCAAATTAGCTAATGGGCTAACACAAATGCTAATTCATGTTTCTCCACAGACCAGCACTGTGGAGGAGAACTTGGTGATTATACTGGCTACATTGAATCACCCAACTATCCTGGAGACTACCCAGCTAATGTTGAATGCATTTGGAATATAAACCCACCCCCAAAGAGGAGAATACTCATCGTAGTACCTGAGATATTTCTCCCAATTGAAGATGAATGTGGTGATGTTTTAGTAATGAGAAAAAGTGGTAAGTTGCCAGACATGGGTTATAAAAATATTTACTGCAAACTGGCTGAGTGGAAAGTTCATACTGAAGGGAGAACTCTCTTCATTTACCCAGTGTTTTTAAAAGGATTGGTGAATGAACTTGGCACAGCAAGTTAAAACAGAACAGTGTACCAATAACAATTAACAGACTTACATTAATTATTCAAGTGTCTTGGCTGAATCACAGAGCGGTTAACAGGCTTCTGTCTGGCCCAATTATGACATGGGATAAATCACTGCCATTATTGAAGTCAACAAAGCTATGCTAAGTTATACTGGGAGAGCTATTTCCAGTCATCTGTACAAGCTGTACTCTTAACATAGCCTTTGCAAGTATGTGTACACTGCAGTTACTGCTAAATCTGGGCAGTGACACAGGTTGGTACACCTGACACCCACAGGAAATCCAAAGTTTTCCCAGTTTTATGAGGAGTGGGGAAGTTGTGAATGCTCCATCCCTGGCTGGGTTGGACAGAGCCTTGGGTGACATGGTTTAGTGGGAGGTGTCCCTGCCCATGGTAGGGAAGTTGGAACTAGATGATCTTAAGGTCCTTTCCAACCCTAACTATTCTATGATTCTATGATTTTATGTGGTGTGTCTTTAGGAAGTTAATTCAACAACTTCTGAATATAAGGTGCCAATGAGATGCACTCCTTCAGTCCTGTTCAGGCATCCAGCTGCTGCTGATCTGTTGCTGAATCTCCAAGATTCTTCTATCCGTTCTATCACAAGAAACTTCTGCTCTCAATGTCAGCTGAGAAGCATAGTGTCAATTTGACATTTGTCACTTCTCAAGAAAGGTGCAAAAAGTTATTTTATAAAGAACATTTATTTATTTAACCTTCTTTCTAGCTTCTCCTACTTCAATTACTACATATGAAACATGTCAGACTTATGAGAGACCTATTGCATTTACCTCAAGATCAAGGAAACTTTGGATTCAGTTCAAGTCAAATGAAGGAAACAGTGGCAAAGGATTTCAGGTCCCCTACGTGACTTACGATGGTGAGAATTGCATTGTTTTCCACCTTCGTGTTATATCCGAATTATGGAAAATCATCTTGTAGAACATCTCATACACTGATTACAGGGAGAGAGGAAGAGGAAAAACCTGATATAACTCATTCTTAGTCCAGAGAATTACATTAAAACTACTTGCAAAGACTTCGAAATAATATCTACTTTTATTTTTGTTACTTTTTCTAATACTTTAAGGATGGACAGCACATTACACAGAATGCTTTAAGCATTAAATAAGACTCTTTTTAACTGACATTTATCATATGCATAATGAGAATAACATTTGCTGTGCATTTTGGGACACCTCTTCATCAATCCTATTGGTAACACAGCCAGTTTTGAAAATTCTAAATTAATAAAATCACAAGTCCAACTGAGAAAGAAAAAAAAACAGTGATACTAAAAGAAATATCTTTTCAGTAACCACTTTCATAAATCACATTTTAAAACACCCTGGTTTGTCACATAAATTATGTATTGAACTGTGTATTTTGGACTTTGGGATGATTTCTCTTTTAATGAAACAAAGACTTTTCTGTGGTACCTTTGGCAGCTGTTAGTTCTCTTTTCCAAACACCAGTGAAATTTTGTGAATGATGAGAAAACCTGGATTAAATTGGTCATTCTGGAATGAAAATAAGAGCTGTTTTCAGGGCAGAAATCTGGATCTGCTTCTGGCTGTACTGCTGACTTCACATATAACCTCTGACTGTTATTTCATATCCCTGGTCCTGTTTCTTCATCTCTAGAACGTAGATAGTAAAACATTATCTGAAGGGAGTAGTGTTCTGGGGCTAAGTTAGTATTTATGTGGATAATTCAAAATTAGTGTTCTAAAGCAGTGCAAAGTTTCAATGTGTTTAGATTAGACTACAGCAGCTTGAGAGACACTGAATAATTAACTGGATACTAAATTTTTGCCCTTTGTTTTGAAGAGAAGTTCTAACTGATGTCTGGCTATTACCCTTCCAAAGGATGTCACAAACAGTCACTCATCTGATCTTTATTTTTCAGAGGATTACCAACAACTAATAGAAGACATTGTTCGAGATGGACGATTATATGCATCAGAAAATCATCAAGAAATTCTAAAGGTGGGAAAGTTCTGCTTTATCCAAGGCTAAGCAAGAATTCCCTTTACAAAATATTTTTCCAAGATACCTGACAGGGTCACAATATTTAAAGCTTTAGTGTGACCCCAAATTAAATTCTCTGCCTTCTGAAGTTTATGTCTGTATTTGGAGCAACACAAACTCAGTAGCTCAGCTGGGCTGAGCATGTGCTTAAGTCCTTTGATGAATCAGGAACTAAAGTAAAGGTAAGCTAATATGATTGTATGTTAGAAAAATTAGTCAACCAAGAATAAAGGAACTATTGTTTGAAGACCTGCCTTCTGGCATGTGCTTAAATGAGTCATTAAGTTGGCATTTCCTGTGCTTTAAAAATGTATTTGCCTAAATCGCCAACCTGCCTCAACAAGACATAACCATAATGTCGCACTGTAAGCTGCCCATGAAATGGTTTTCCAAAGGTGCAAGCAACGTATTGGAGAGAATTGTGGAGGAATGCTGCTAGGCTGCCATGTCTAACAATCAACTAATTCAAGTTGAAAAAAGGCTGTTCAGGTAGCAAAATTCAGCCATGTAAATATCCAACTTGGAAGGACAGGAACTGAGTGTTAGCCAGCTCCCCTGGCCAGCCCTGCCAGTATTCTTTCACTAGATCTTTGAGGTTGATGAGGTCCCAGCTGCAGTGGATACATAACGGTCAGGCACAGGCTCAGCTGAGGCTCTGAACCAAGGCTTTACCAAGGTACGGGAGAGGAGCAGGGCATCACTTGAAGGCCAGCCTTCTCTCTTGCTTGAGCAGGGAAGGGACAACAGCATGGAGCAGCCTGGAAGGGCACCCAGAGGCAGTCTGTAGTCCTAATGCCTAACTTTTGCAACCAGTTTGTGGTTAACCCAGCTGCTGCCCTCTCAGGGCCTTCCAGGAATGCTAATTGCAAAAAAACTATCCAGCACAGCAGAAAGATGTATCAGTATAAAACCACAGCAACATGGAGTAGTTGCCCTACAGCGCTGTACCCAGAATCAAGCTTTGAAAAAACCCAGGTTGCTGTTCATTAATGTTGAAAGCTGTGCAGGCACTAAATCCAGACCCTAATTTTATCTAATATATATGTTGTCTCCCACAGGACAAGAAACTGATTAAAGCTCTCTTTGATGTACTGGCACACCCACAAAACTATTTCAAGTACACAGCACAAGAGTCAAAAGAGATGTTTCCAAGATCATTTATAAAGCTACTGCGATCAAAAGTTTCCAGATTTCTACGACCATACAAGTAGTCCAGTGGTATTGAATTGTTGGTTATTTTGCATTCCTGTCAAATATTGTCTTTCCTCCGTAGTAGAAACATTTGCTAATTTGAAGGCTCTTTTTTGCAGTCTTTGTTCTCAGTTGTATATCGAAGAATACCTATAATGTTTTATAAGCATTCAAAGCCAATGTTCTGAATGGGATTTTTATTACAAAAGAAAAAAAATGTGCATCCTTGAGCACATCTAGTAGAAAATCCAAATTTGTGTCTGCACTAGTGTACCTTCACTTCCCATTTGAAATTACATGAGATAGAAAGTATTCTTTCCAGCTTTTTCTTTTTCATCAACAATAACTTTCATCAAGCAAAGATGGAATTTCTTCAAATTGGATTAAACTACCTGCAGATAAGTTCTGTTGTAGAAAGAAGTGTGTAATATAAAATTTGCATTTTGAATTGCACTTGAAGTTTATATTTGAATCTCTAGAAGAAAAAACTATCTAAATTTTGCTATCTGTCCTTTGTGGCTGAGTGGAACCTCTGTCCAGGTAGACATCAAAAGGGAAAAAATTAAAAACAAAAAAAAGAAAAAAACCACAGATGTATAATTTTGTTTTGTGACTTCAATGAGATTTGAGTTCCTTGTCCTGGCCTCCTAATGTTTTTGTCTGTCCTCTTCTAAACTTCTTCAGAGGTTTGCCATTGTCAGTAACTTCACTGAAACAGATTTAGCTCTGGATTTCCATACACCAATTGGTCCCTTTGAAGACATTTACAATAGGATAGGTGAGAAATGAACAACAACAGTAGTAGTCTTTTTTTTTCTTTCTGTTAATAGAGCATCTAATTAATTACAATATATAAATATATAAATATATACTTCTATTTGTGGGTACATTGGTAATGTTATCTTTAGTTACTGTAAATATTATTCATGCTTAAATCTTAAATCCCACTCACCCTATTTACCCATATCTATTTGTAAACTTTGCTTAGATGATTAAATGACTTCTCCCAGTACTTGTCACTTCCGTTTACAACAAACTGAAGCCTTTTGGCGTTTTGTAATACTGGATAATGGTTTAGTCTGGGACAATCTCTTCTGACATACATTATTCCAGGAGAAATGAGTTAAGATGCAAATGCTGTCCAGTAAGGGGTCAGCTGTTGTCTCTTCTTTGGGCACCCCTCATGTGCAGACCAACAGAGTTAACCATGAGGATGACACGCATAGAGGTGAAACTCTTCATTGAGGAGGAATTTCTGTAGGACCTGCCACCTCTGAAATGCTGGGAACAGACCTGTGTCACAGGCCCAGGCTCTGTGGAGGTGAGGGGTGAACAGGACACAGATGAAAGCAGGCCCTGCAGTCTTGAGAGACCTGGCACTCCCTTTTGTCACAGAATTGCAACCACGGGAGCCAGAGGGGCTGCAGGAGAGCATTAGCCTTGTGGTCAGGCCTTCCTTATGGAGTGACATGTACTGGTGGGTTAAGAGGATGATAAATCCTATGTTTTCTAGCACAGGAGATAATTTCAACGAGAGAGTAGCCTTTTTTTAATACTATTTCAGCCTCTTTACTCTAAAGTCCCTTCCTTTTGTGTATCACTTTCCCTTTTGATCCTATGAGTTTATTACATGGAGTAAATATCACACTAGCATACTCTCAGAAAGAGACTAGCACACCATTTTGCTTCACTGTTGGGTTCAGGGTTTTTTCTGCATATCTATCTACCCTTTAGTTTAACATACGACTGAATGCTCTCAAAGACATACATTAAGGGTAGTTATGATTAACTTGTTACACATTTCCCTTTGATCAAGTACTGATTAAATTTACAAATCTGGTTTCTGTTGGCTACAAGTGGTTGAATATTCCATTTCTTAAGTATTCTGTTGAGCTTTCCTACGTAGACATCTTGTAATTTTGCTTGCCTTCTTTCCTTTCCTGTTGAAGAGTATAGTTTTTTTATTTCCGTGTCTGAACAGTTTCAACTTAGAGGTCTAACAACTCATCTTTTCCACTCATGGATCTTAGGTCTTTGACAAATTTCTCTTTAGTATATATATATTCATATATTAACCCTCATTTTAAAATGCAGTATCTCCACAGAAGTCCTTTGTTAAAGGCTATTAAACCTAACCTTCTATGAGGATGTTGAAACTACTTTTATTAAGTATTCATCATGGGTTACTATAGGTGGACATTTGAAGGAGTACAACTCAGCAGTCCTAGACTCAGTGCATGTCTGGAATTAAAAGAAAGTTGTATGTATTTTTTTCTTTAACAGGAGTTATTTGTAGAAAATAATTAAAAAGGCAAAAAAATTTTTTAGGTACTCAGTTATGTAAAAGTGCATAGCTAAAAAACTACTTCAGCTGAACAATATTCCAATGTCTGATATGTTCAGAATGATCAGAATGGGTCAGGAGTGCAGCCACTCTACTGAAACAAATGAAGGAAAAGATAGGAAAGATACGGAGAAAAATAACTTACTCCTTTGCTGAAAGGTTTGCAGCAATCATTAGTATCTCAAACTTTAGTAAGTAAACTTTAGAACCTGATGCTGTGCAGTGAGTTTAGTAAAATCCTTGTTAAATTTTTGCTTAACAGCCCACATATTTGGACATAATACCACAGTATGACACTGGTGCCAAGCTGAACAAACCTACTCTCTGAAGTGGGGCTGAAAGTCATTGCCTTACAAATCCTGAAACCACTAACATTTTCCAGGTTCTTTAACTACATTGGAACCTAGTATTAGCGACTACAAGAGGGACATGTCCCGGTCATGGCCCCTGTTAGTGGGGCTTTGGTAGAGCTGTGAGAGGTGAACACAGGAGGGATCAGCTACATTTAGCTCTGGTACCACTTGCCCTTACTTACAACACATTAGTTCATCCTGACAGACATCCTCAGAGTGTGTGTTAGCTCATATTCCCTGGAGCCATATCAGGGCATGGAGTACATAGTCAGGACAGGGCACTAGAGGATTTCTGTAGCAAATGCAGACTTTCTGTTGCTGAAAGAAGTAAAAGAAGAATAATCGAGCCATCAAAGTGAAATGTTTCAGAATATACAGGGGTTTCACATATATTTAGGAAATAAGTCAGGTCTGAATGTTGCGGCTTTGCATAGAAATGGACGTGCAAATTTCTAATGAAAAAATTAACAACAGGTGGTCTATAATACTGCCTGAACTGACTTCAGCTGTACAACAGCACAGTGTTTTTACACGAGCTCTAAAAGTGCTTTTGCTTTCACACTAGATTTACAGTTACAAAAACTGGTGGTCACCACGTAGGTGAGCTCAGCTCTTCACTTGTTAATGTAGGTATAGAGTGCCTTCATTGTCAGAAGAGAACATATTGCTACTATAAACCAACAATACAACAAGGAATGTCTTCTTCAATGGAGAAGGCCTAGACACGTTTGGGAATCAAAAAAACATAGAAGGAGAAATATAGGTGCCTTTAAGAAAACCAGCTTTGTGAAATGAATCAACACATCACAGAGTAGAAAATTTTGGCTTTTAACCTAAACATGAAATATTGCATTTAAAAATATTCAATAAATACAGCCCTGTATTTGCTCTTATAGAATTACATGTTGTGTGCAGGATAGGTGCAACAGCACATTTATGTGTTATTACAGGAAGGCTGGAGAAGTGTCCATTTGTGATTGCCCAATTCCACATCACAAAATGAGCTTTTCATTTTCAGTTTGCAAATGCCTGTATGCTTAAAAGCTGCACCTGTAGCACTTAGAATTTTAAGCCTCTCCTCCTGCTTTAAATACTGCACTTACTTTCAGTGAGGTGGTGGTGAATCATCCCTAAATATTCTCCTGTGCCACCACATCACTGCCTGGATGCCTGCTGTGGTCCAGGAGACTGCAGCAATCAGAAGTTGCTAATCAAGCTCTAAGTCCTGTGTGATTGCTGTGGCAAAGTGCCCGTGTGTGTCCTTTAAGTAAGGAAGCATCAGCATTCAGTGCTCAATGGTTTGCCACCTGCACCTTGCTTGCAGTAGCAAGATTTATTCTGCCCGATGATTTTGCTCACCGAAACTGGATTTAAAGCTGCTGAAGTCTTCTTTCAGCTCATTTTCTTGCCCGCCCTTCCCCCAGCAAACATTGGATTTTTACCTGAAGACCAACTTTTCAAAAGAAACGTATTTTCTCATTGTGCCTCCCCCATAGGACAAAGTTAAATTACAGTACAATATAACTACTAAGATTTAGACTTATCTTTCCTATATGTTAGCTTCATATTAGGGTATACTTAAAAGTAAGTAAGCTTACTTAAAACTAGCTTACCTAGTAAGCTAGGTTTAGTTTAGTTAATATCATTTTAGACTATCTTAAATACAGGCTTGGTCACAGAGTTTTCAGATTCTGCATTCTGAGTTTTCAGCTGTTCACCTGCAGCCCTGTGTCTGTAAGCAGAATGTAAAGATGCAGCCACATGAATAAGGAACATGCTTATATGCATTAAACATTCAAAGAGGAAAGCCAAACCCCACCCCCTGCCCTGCTGGTAAGCACACACAACTGATCCAGATTTCTCAGGGTAATCTTATCCATATGAACAGTCCAGTTTTAATCTTGCAGATAACAAGTTACAAACTTCAGGAGCAGAGCAGTGGTTTAATTCTTACGTAAGAACTGCTGACTGGTATTTGCCAGCAAAACCCAGCTGCTCCATGACAGTTCCCATGTCTGGACTCTAAATACCTTTGAGCACTCTTAAAAAAGATGCTGGAATGAAATCTTCAACAGGTGAATCCAGTGGTGAATTCTCAGCCACCTCAGGGGTCTGGATTTTCCCTTTTCCAGTGATGGGAATGAGCAACACACACAGTTACTTGTACCTGTGTCATGAGTTCAAGTAGCTGCATTTTTGTCATAGTTTAAAACCACTGATTGACAGGGATGGTACTAACTGGAGAAGTTCTGTAGACTCTCAGTACTTTGAGACTTTGATGAAACTGTTTTCTAGGATGCAAGACTGTTGTAAGCACTCGGCAGGGAGGGGGAGACTTTTGTCTTCAGTAAGAATTTACATAATAAAGTAAATTTCTGTAAGGTAGTAGGAACTTATTCCTCAATGTGAGACTTGGATTCAGAGAGAAGTCTCATGTTTTACCATAACATTTTTCATCTGAATAGAAACAGAATGGGAGTTGAACTCCGAATGTCAAAAACTTGCTATCTAAGTATCTGAATATATACAATTACAGTTTGTTCTTTCATTTATTTATTATTTTTCATCACTAAGCTTTTAATCTATAAAATTAATATGTAATATACAAGAGTAAAATGTACAGAAGTACCTTTAGATGTAATAATTTAAACCATCTGTATTCAGAAAGCAGACATAACAAGCTTAAAGACATACAAACAACTGCAGTTCAATTTTAGCTGAATTTCTCAATATCTAGAAAAAGAAGTGGCTTTGCTTAATTAAAGTTTATTTTAGTGATTGTGAAAATATCTTTTTTAGAGTTTTTGTTACTTTTTAATTAAAATTATTTTGTAAATATTGTTTTCTATGTTTTATACCTTAGAAAGGCCATTAATTGGCATTGACAGCAGCAGATACTGAGCACAACAATGAAAAAGGTACTGTAGGAGACCGGGGTGGATGTAGTCAGCAGCCAGATTTATCCTTCCAGGTTACTGCTCTTAGTATTTCTGCAGTCACACTGGCATCAGAGGAAGAGTTTTATGGGGCAGTTTAACCTGCTGAATTTCAGAGAACTGACTATCAAGTGTCATTCTGAAGTGCTTATTATTTTCATAACATATAACGAACATTTTAAAGTTAGTACTAGTTCTTCTTCCATTGTTATGATAAGAAACAACACAAAACTCAGAAATAAAAGGGAATCCAAAGGATGATGCTCAAGTATAGTGTAAAGACAAACAAAAGCAGGGCATCTCTGTGCTTCCAGCTAGCAGTGGAAGTGCTAAAACCTCATACTGGATCAGATCATAGAGCCTTTTTTAGGCAAAACTGCCACTGAGGTCAGTGGTAGCTTCACCTATATAAAATTCACTATGATCACGTCCATCATCAGTTAAGCAGGGATTTCTGGTAGATTAGGTTTGGGGGGAGAATACCTTGAGCGTAATATTGGTTCCTATACTGATTTGCTCTGTGTGATTCGGTGGGCAAGAGTGACATTTTGAACTAAATGCTTATAGATGCTGCTGGGACTCGGAAGCTTTATTACCAATGTAAATTATGTACAAACAGCTATTTCCATATGAAATGTACCATGGTAGTTTAGGGCAAAGATAGTGAATAACTGTACAAAATTTGATACTTAGAAAATAAAACACAGGGGTCTAAGCCTTACCAATATTTTAACAATACTGTCAGATTAGTAGTAGAAAAGGTTGTTGTAAATGTACCTTATGAGAAAATACATTTCCTTTTGCCTCTGTATATTAATAGCTTTGATTTCCATGTCAAAGCTAAGAATGAAGCATGTAATAAAATTTTTGTTAAAACTGCTTTCATAATAAATGTAAAATGGAATGGATGTCCCTGCCTGACATTTATTTGTGTACATGAAAAAGGCTCCATGCACCAGTATAATGCAGACAGAAATCAGAAGAGAACTTCGCCTTTTGATAGCATTCACATACTCCAGTCTGATTTTCATCTTGAGGCAACAGAGAGCTTGCTCTTCTTCATCAAACAACTGGAGTTTGTAAGTCCTGGGGCATAGAGTTAAGTGCCTTCCAAACAGACTTCAAGAAGAGTTTTTCAGAGCAAGAAGAAATCCTGACCACAGCAAAGCCCTGCATCACCAACATCCCTTCAGGACCTTTAACATCTCTTAAAATAACTCTGATTTTACTAACTGTACCTCCTGCAAGTGCCCTTACCCACACACCTCTCTTGAGAAGCAGCCTCAAAGAAAAAAGAAAGAGGAAGGAAGCTTTCTTGTGCTGGTGGCCTGATGGGCTATTCCCACCACAAGCTGCCACTGAAAAGACCACTGACTTCCAAACTCACCTGCTGCTTGTTCCACTGAGGACTAAATTGAAAGAAAACTACACTTGCACTTTGAACCAATGATTTAAAGAGAGATCAAAAGTGTCCTTTCTCCCTCTAGCCCTGCCATAGTAAAAATGTATTTGCCCAGGCCTTCCTTGCTGCTGAATTTTACAATGATAGATTTTCACAGTCCAAGATTACAAAGCAAGCAGATATCGTACAACCAGTGGCCCAAGTGATGCTGGCAATGATGAAAATGGATGATGACAAACTGACAGAAAACAGACTATCATAGGTCAATTAGATCTGATTTAAGCCATCTTTTGTGCTACAAGAAGTACAAGTCACTAAGGATACACAGCATGCCAGACCAGACAAAAATCATGGATGTTGTTAATGGAATTGCTAGCACCTGGTAACAGGTTTGCCACTCAGCAGTGCTTGTTCAGAAGTGAGCACAGCTTGTCAAGCATTGTTAAGACTACAGCAGCCACCTACTGCAGAACAGACAGGAGAGCTCATCTACCAGCATGGTGCTCTTCTGATATGTAAGTAGTTTATCTTATTAACAGAAAGCATTTATCATATGACAGTATGCACTGCTGTTTTTATATATGTTGTAAATGATGTAAATACTGTCTGTATGACCGATGACCTGTCACTGGCAGGTTTGAAAAGTAGAGAGAAACAGATAAATTCTGACTGGAAAAAATCAATTACTGCCTTTCCCAGCTAATAGCACTTCACTCAAGTAATACAGCCAGTTATCCTCATTGCACTCCAAGAAGATACAGCATCACTTTAATCAGAATACAGATGTGCCATGTGAGATGGCACTCAGCTGCCTTTATCACTTCAAAGCTCTAAAGGAGTAACAGGAAAAATCAGCTCCTGTCAAAGGCAGGGAAAAGCTGACCTCAAAAGTTCCTAAAGGTCATTGGAAGTCAAGTTAATTACTGCTAACGAAGTATCTGTGTACAAGGGCAAAAGGCATTAAAGGTTCAGCAAATGGTTTATTTGAGAGCATATTGCAGCATTTACTGTAAAATACACCAGAAATATGTTCCCTCGCCTCCTTTTTATTGTTAGGTTAAGGGTTTCTCCTGCTCCTTACATCCCAACCTCTCTTTGGGAGAAGGTTTTCGTGACATGCTGCCAAAAAGGAAGGTTCTAACTTGAAACAACAGGAAAATGAGGTATGGAATGCTCATCAGATCTATCAGGATCAGAGCGTCATAAGCATTTGGAATAAAGCGAGAAACTGCCAGGCTCACAAAACTTTGTAAAACTCCAGTTGTGTTTGGTGGGGGCAAGTGCAGCTTCACATATGCTAGCTCATGATAAATTTCTGATACAAGGCAGGAACTAAAGGAGATCGTGGTGGATAAGTCATCAGGACTGCCATGACAAAGAAGTGCAACAACTGCATGGGTTGGCCCCCTACAGATAGTGCCAGATGGGTAAATCCTCTTATTATAGCCCAGGGTAGCATTAAGTAAGCTCAGCCTTGCTGAGAATCTTTTGCATTCTCCACAAATACCTATGTAAAGTAACCCATTAAATTTAACAAGCACTTTGCCTGAGTAAGGACTGCATTGTTCAGGCACTAGTAAATTAGTCACTCTTCCTCAGAAAACAATCAGAATAATATACTGGGGTGATTTTTTCTTTACGAAGATTATCCACAAATACCCGCTTTCATAATGAGAGGCTGACAGTGGTATCTCTGGGCTATGGTTCTAGCATCACAGGTCATCTACAGCACATAGTAGGAATAACTGCTCCTGAAAGCCTCACTGTGTAGCTGGTGGTTGAAGCCCCGACAGGAGTGGTGAGTGCTGGGATCCACTCTCTGCTCCTGGAATTACTCCTGCTGTGGGAAAACAGCAAAAAGCAGGGTAAGCTGCCAAGGGCAGCAGCTGAGTAAGAATATATTAGGTAACTGTTTGACAAAGTCAGGGAATAGGCCACTTACTGTGGCTTCCGAGTGTCAGAGTCTTACCTACTCTTAACCCTGGTGATTCTGACTGTTTTACTACTACTTGGAGTTTATCAGCAGCAGTGCAGCTTGCCCCCAGTCCTACAAGCTCACCCAAACATCCTGTAACCACAGACAGATGGCCGGTGGCCAGAACTCCTACCAAGGTGAGGTGGAAGTGCAAATAAGCAGTGGGAAAGCACCTGCCTGCACTTGGTGAGAACAAGAATTATCTAAATCTCATGTTGGAGCAGGATCACGTTCCCCTTGCCTCTGGACAGGGCATGATCACTATGGCTCTGCAGAACAAAGACATGAAAATACATCCCACTACTCTTACTTGGTCTCTTGAGGGAAAGTGATTGACTTCTTTAGGTAATTAAAAGTTTGACTTCACTATAGAATCATTATATATTTTCTGTGAACTCTCTCATTTTTATAAAGTCACCTGGTAAAACGAAGCAACCAACCAACCAGTTCAAATTAGCAGTAACCAACACTCCCAGGTCGAGACAATGTTTTGCGTGGTGAAAAAAATCTATGCAAAAAAAGCAAGTTGTGTAACTTGCTATACTCGATACAGGCTGTGTAGAACCATATCATGTTGTGCGCATACATAACATGCTGACACGTACCAGTCTATGGCAAAGACAGAAAGGGAAGGGTGTCTCTGGGAACCTTTTCAGTAAGGTCCCCATGAGGACTGAGAAGGGATCTAGTATCCGCATTTTGTAATACCTGTGCAAGATCACCACCACAGGCATCCCCTTCTTCCAAACCATGATATTAGCAAAACCATCCTCAAGCTCAGAGCAGGAAGCCCAATCAAGAAGCACTGGAAATACACCTGTTTTTTTGATCTGCTGCTGTTTGATCATGAAGGACTGCTCGGTGACAACCCAGTAAAGCCTTTATGCTGCGGGGAGTGAAGGAACACAGCACATGGCGAGGCAGATGCAGTCTCAGGCAGAGGAAGATTTGCCTACATTTACTATTCAGATCCCCAGCCTGAGGATCATGCTAGATCTTCAGCTGCAGAACGCTGATGTATCATTACAGCACGTAGGCATTGTTTTTAATCTCTACTTTCCTTGCGCCTGGCCAAGCTACTGCAGCTTTTGACCCTCCTGGTAACTGTGACCTTGTGGAGAGAGGGACTGCCGCTCTGGATAGTTACTTGGACCCCAGTTCAGCAAGACGAGACAGGGCAGTGAGAAAGAACGTATTTCTTCAACATGGTACTCATGTACATCCTCCAATGCCAGCACTCCATGAATTTGAGGCTTTCTGACCAGCTACTGACCCTAAATTCTTATGTCTAGAACCTGCCCGTAGCCCTCCTAGCACTGTGTCATGCTGCCAGCAGCACTTAAATCAGATGCTGCCTTAATCTGAGGACAGGCTGGTAGGAAAACCAGCTTCCACGGTCCCTGGAGCAGACAATCCACAGCCAAAACAATGCAAGCGCTGTCAGCAGCAGCTCTTTGATAGGCACAGCAGAGCCCTCAGCTCCAAGCAGCTGCCAGATGCCTAGCTTTGCTCTTGTTGTCTTACAGCCATACTTGAGACCAAACTACCAGTAATGTTTAGGGAGCCTCAGGTTAAACTGGTTTAGGCTATTCCTACACAATTGCAGAAGGAATGGATTTTCTTAAAAATTTAGAAAGTTTCTTCTAAAGAACACAATATTGGGAAGCTGCTACATGTGCTTCTGAAGAACACACTTCCCTCTTAACGCTGACACTCGGGAGAGGCCTTAAAGTTCACTTGTCAAAGTTTAAAAAAGATTAAAAAAGGCTTTAATTTAAGAAGTTACTGTTCCATGCCACACGTGATGCCAGTTTTTCCGCTGCACACACAACTTGAGGAGAGCATTTCCCGTGGCTGCGGCCAGCAGTTAGCCTCTGTCATGCCCCTGTAACTCACTTCACAGAGGCTATGGCTGCGGCCTTCCCAAGAAGTCCCATCGTCATAAAACACTAAGAAGCAAGTATGTTGTGGCCAGCACGGCGCCACGAATGCTGTTATTTTATTAAAGATTAAGGGCAGGAGAAGCACAGAGCACAGGCAGAACTCGCACCTCTTTAGCAGACTAAAGCCCCCTCAGACCCCCTTTCCTTGGGGATGACTACGAGCGGCCGCCGCCCCCTTGAAGCCAGCAGACACTGATCAACGCTTCCCCTCCCTCCACTCAGCGCTGAGAAGCCGCCGTTGGCACCGCCTCTCCCCTCCCTCTGAGGGGCGGTTCTTGTTCGGCATGTTCCGGTCTGCGCCGGGGTGGGTAGTGGGAGTTGGTGGCTTTGGTGTTTAGCCATGTCGGGAGATGGTGAGGAGGATCTGTCGGCCTTCGTCGCCCTGCATGGAGCCGCGCTTCGAGCCTCGGGGGTCCCGGCGCTGTACTGGGAGAGCCTGTACCGCAAGCTGCGGGGCGAGGTGGGTGACCGTGGGTCCCTGGGGGAATGGCGCTCAGGGAAGCTCATTCGCCGGGCCGGGGGTCTTTCCTGCCGAAGGGGCTTCCTCAGTGAGGAGGCGATGGCGGAGCTCTCTCTCAGCCAGGTCCT